GACTGCGCGCGCCGGTTTCTATGAGAGTTTGTATTGAGGTGGTGCCAGTCATCAAGAAGGCACCCCTTTGTGCTCTTGCGGTCGTGGCCCTGGTGCCACTGGCACTAAGGGCGCGTGTGATGACCAGGACGGGTGGCGCGGCTGCCTGCGGACGCTTGGGGCGCGTTGGAGCGATGGCCAAGGACGGATGGGGTGTCAGAGCGTCCCCAGCGAAGTGTGGAAGTGTGGCGTGCCAGGATCCCGCGGGAATGCGTTGATTTCGAAGCGTGCGGTGGCGTGGAACGCCGCCGGCGAGTTTGGTAAGGTTAGGAAAAGAAGAATCAGTCGTGAATTAACCCGGAAACCAACAAGTTGAGTCGTTTCATATTGACTTGATTTGTTATTTTCTACTAGCTACCGACTACCAAGCCTTTCGGTCTACAGCTTTCTGATAACGCTTCGTTGCAGTCCCGCCCCATTCCGGGACGACTCGCGACACGTGGTGGAGAAGCCAGGGTACTGCTTCGTTGTGGGATTGCTGAACCGAAGGAACGCTCTCGAGTGTACGGACGGAGGACTTTGCTGCCACGCCTGGATCAAGCGCACGGATAAGTACAAGGTTAAGCGCGAGGGTGATCCTAAGAGGGCGTCAAGGAAGGAGCAAGCTTCGATCCAGAAGGAGGTGAAGAGCGGTTGGTGTTGGTTGAGGAAGCGCCGAGGACGAGCGCGTAAGGAGTTTGTTTTGGAGAACCGTCGGGGGCACGGTTGGATTAGTACGGTTGTTTGGAGAACGGTTATTTTGGTGAACGGAAACGGAGTTTGTTGGTGATACTATTGGTTATTGGAGATGGATTTCTACGGTGAAGATTCGGGAAGTGAAGCTGGAAGTGAGCGCTACGGTGATGTTCGTGGCGGTGAGGAGAGGTCGGTCACTGTGCAGACCGCGGTTGAGCGGCTGGAGAGAGCCGAGAGACAACGCACTCTGGGATTCAGAGGTGCGGATGAGGGAGAGACGACGGAAGGACAGGGGCAGTCTGTCGTCGGTGCAGGTCGTGTGGCGGGGCAGTCAGAAGTTATGCGGGAGCTGCTCGCCGCTGGTGTGGAAGAGTCCAAGGACGCCGTCGTGGAGACTGCGGAAGCGAGTCCTGTGGAAGGTGCGGCTACTGTCGCGACGGAAGTCAAGACAGAGCCCGAGGTGAAGGAAGAACATAGAGGAGGTACGGACGCGTTCGCTGGCTACGGTGAAGAACCGTCCTATTACGGTGGTGTTGGCCAAAGACAGTCTCGGGTCGATGAGTACGGTTATGGAACCGCTCAGGACTACTACTTTGGCGTCGAGGAAGAGGAGGAAGCGGAGAGCGCACCGCGTAGAAGTCCGAGTGGGTTTATCCCTCGGTACACCGGTCCGGAGGCTAGGAGAATGGATCGACCTGCGTTTGGTTGGAGCTGGAGCGCGACTAAGGCTGTGGACACGCCTGCTGGTTACGGTGTTCCGTCCAGTGGCTACGGTCCTGGTATTGGGGTGAAGAGCGTTTCGAGTGTGGCTAAGGTGCCGAAGATGGTGGGCCATTCTGCTCAAACTGGTGGATTGCGGTCACAGGGAGTCCCGACAGCTACGGTCGCTAGTGTTAGACCGTCGGTACCTCCTGTGATGCGTGCGAGTGGTCCAGGTGTGGGTCGTCCGGCGCCTAGTATGCGTCCTATGCCTACGATGGCGCCGCAGCCAAGGACTCGAAGCGGACCTGTGGTGCAAGGAGGCGCTCTGAATGCGTTCAGTTTGTCGAACCTGGTGTCGAACGCGGTGAAGGTGTTGCCGACGTTCTACTCTGACTCAGCTACGGTCGAGAAAGCTCGTGACTTCTGGGAGCTGTTTGAAGCTCACACGGTTGGATTGCCCGACCAGTCACGATTGTTGGTATTCCGTCAGAAGATCAAAGGACGTGAGGCGGAACGCTGGTGGAGTAACTCGACCATCCGTTCGTTCAAGACGTTGAAAGTGAGATTTCACAATCAATTCTTGAGTCGTACAGCGGATGAACTGTGGGAACGGTTGGAAACCACGAAGCGTGAGCGAGGTGAGTCCGTTGAGGAATGGGGTGACCGCGTCTCGGATCTCTGCGAGTCGCTTAACTACCCAAATCCTCAGATGAGGTACCAACTGTTCCGACGAGGTCTCAGAAACAAGCGAATGCTGGCTACGCTCGATGCTAGTCCGGCTTCGGACATTCCTGAAGCGTGCGAATGGCTCATGTTCAAGGACATGTACCGTCCTGTTGAAGAAGACGATGAATTTTCGGACGATGAGTCATCCAGGAAGAAAGGGAAGGAAACGCCCGTGTTGGCTTCGGTGGATGCGTTGGCGCAGCAGTTGCAGACGTTTATGCAACAGCAACAGCAATGGCAAGAGCAAATGACTCAGAATCGTTGGCAAGGACCACGGTCGCCGAGGAACCGTGCTCCGATGGTAGCTGCGGCAACTGCATCTACTTCTTCTGGAAACGTGGGAACGGTTCCGAGTGGTAGTCGTCCGTTCCGAGGCATCAGTATGGAGGACGATAGTCGAACTCAGGATGGTGTTCCGGTGTGTGGCCGATGTAGATACAAAGGTCACGGCCGAGCTACGTGTGTGCGTGCTGGGATGAAGTGTCTGCAGTGTGGACAGATGGGTCACGTCCGTTCTGAATGTGACTCGAATTCTAGTACTGGCTATGGTGGTAACCGCTTTGGTGGACGAGGGTCGCGTGGTCCGTCGAGATGCTTTTTCTGTGAAGACACTGGCCATGTGGTGGCTGAGTGTCCGGCGATTCGTTCGCTACGGTCGCTAGTGCCGCAAGCTGCGAGCACTAACTCTCAACAATGAAGACGACGGGAGGAAGGGGACGGAGGAGCCACTCCTTCCTCTTGTCAGATGGTTGGCTCGGATGGTGATCACGGTGTAGGAACAGTTAAGGAAGAGCAAGTGGTCGCCGAGGTGTTGGAAGTCGAAGAAGTTGGTATGAGAGGGTGCGAGAATGGTGATGTTTGCAGTTTGAGGGTGGCGCAAGAACCCGTGCTTCCCGAGAAGCCGGATGTCGTGGTGATTGAGGTTGCCGAGGAAGAGAGCAAGAAGGAAGTGGTCAACGAGGACGAGGACGCGTCTGTGAACACGACCTTCTGTGAGGAGGCTAAGGGAACGGTTGATGCAGAAGAAGTAACGGAGGCGAAGGCAGTTGAGGCTTCGAACACGGTTGAAGTGAAGTCGAAGGTCCCGGTGCCTAGAATCAAGTTTCCTAAGAGCATTCTGAAGAAGAGCGGTGACGAATCCGCGAGAGTCGCAGTGTCGATCTCCTACCCGACGAATGAAGTCGAAATCGGGGATACAATGTTCCTGAACTGGGAAGACGAAGGTCCAGAAATGTTCCAAGGTCCGGTTGAGGTTCGTGGAATGGAGCGTGTGTCTACGGTTGCTGAGGAGACTGTCACGGTTCCTGTGTTGGAAGCTGTGTCGGACAAAGATGACGAAGAAACGGTTGAAAGAGAGTCGAAGTACGCTCGCCTGTTCACGGATGACGAGCTGGACGCGATGGAAACATGTGCGCCTGGACAAGAGACTACGGTTCTTGCTGGTGTAAAGGTTGCGGTCGAGACGGAGGAGTATGATAAGGAGCTGGAGGATCGGTTGTTCCCGCTCGACGAAGTTGAACTCAAGAAACGGATGACGACGATTGCTGAGGCCAAGAGGGAGCCGTCTATTGAGGACATGTCGACCTACTTAGGGATTCCTGTGGACGTGTTAGAGCGGACGCGTAAAACTGTTCGTGGCGAAGTGTCTACACCCGAGTACTGGCAAGATTGGTTCAGCTTGACTTTGGAGAAGTCGGCTGAGGCACGGAAGGCTAACCGTGACTTTCGTCAAGCTACTTCGGACAGCGTTGCTAGTCTGGAAGGAGTGGACTGTGCTGATGGTACGGACTCCGACAAGGAATCAGGCTGCGAAGAGGTTTCGATCGCTGCGGGCGATGCTGCGTTGGAGCAGGAAGTGTGTGCGAATATCGTGTTGCCCCTTGAAGATGAGGTGGCTGCGGTAGTTGTAGAGTCGCCTCCTGTTCGACCTGGTCGAAGAGTGATTCGCGGTGAAACCATGAGAGGGATCGCTCGTGAAGCTGTGTATTGGATGCTGAAGGACGCTAAGGACAGTGTTGCGGGAACGGAGAGTGCTACTGTGAGTGCTGAGACTGAGGGTGTACCGCCGTTGCGAGACAAAGTTCCTGAGTTCAGTTTTAAGCGCCTAAAGCTGTTTGCTGACCGTGTGGCTGTCGAGCATGAACTCTTGAAGGACTTATGGACGCTGTTGGAGCATTGGGTGAGCCGATACTACGCTGAGAATGCTGACAGAATTTGGGAACGGTTATGGGATCGAGTGAAACGACCTCCAAGTGTGCCTTCTCATCGAGACAGTCGGCTTCGTCGTTCGCCGTTGTGCTTCGACTGTTCCTCTTTGTACGTTGAGAGTGCCGAGGATGTCGGAGAGGTGAAGTTCCGGCCTGAGTGCGATGAAGATGTCACGCATTATGTTCAGGTTGTTAGGGCCGAGCGTCCCCTCCCGATCCTCCACCTAGGACTGGATTGATGAATATGGTCACGGTGAGTCTGCCGAATGGATTTGGTGTCCGTGACTACGATGAAGACGAGATGTTTGAAATTCCTCGTGTTGTTGAAGGTGGACGGAGAGTTGTGTGCACCGTTGGAAACTTCGAAGCGTTGTCTGGTGGATATATTGATTGTCTACCTTCGCAACTTCTTGCGGATACTGGTGCTACACTAAGTTTGGTTGATCGACGGGTTCTGAAGCGATTAGGACGGTCCAATGAGCCGCTGGAACCGTACGAGGGATATGTGAGGAGTTCTTCTGGTCACCGGTTGCGCATCCGTGGTTGGATACGGTTGCCAGTTTGTCTTGGTTCTATGGAGATTGTGCTGAAGTTACTGGTTACGGAGAAGTTGCACGTTGATGCAGTGTTGGGTGTCGACGCTTTGGGAGCGTTCGGGGCTGTTATTGATGTAGCTGAAAGGCGTATGACTCTGAAAAGTACAGGAGAGACGCTTGAACTGGGTATGGCCGTGGAGCATGAGTCTTTCATGGCTACGATGACTACATCCGTGCGTTTACCTCCGCGTGGACAAGCGTTGGTTATGGCGAACGTGGTTGGTGATATTGGTGATAAGGCTACGGTTATGATTGAGGGTTCTTTGGGTTTGCCGCCTACGTTGTGTGTCGCTCGTTCGTTGTGCACGGTTGAAGACTGCCAGGTGATTGTGGAGGTGTGCAATGCATCTACGGAAGAATGTTGGGTACTGAAAGGAACGGTTGTGGCGTCTACCTCCGTGATTCCTGAGTCGGCGTTTGAGTTTGAGCGAACGAGAGCCAAGGATACTTCGGATACAGAGCCTACGGTGAAAGTTGCGGACGCTCCTGGAGTGGTAAACACGGTTACTGAAGTAGTGGACGAGGGACTCGGTGAGAAGGTGAAGGCGGAGAGGCCTGAGATTCCTCCGGACAAGGGCGGAAGCCTCGAAGCTGACTTCTCGGAGTCGGATCTGTCGTCGGAGCAGAAGTCGCTTTTCCAGTTGGAGCTGGATAGCTTCTGGGATATGTTTGTGGAGTCGTCGAAGAAACCCGGACGGACGGAGCTGTTGCAGTTTGGGATTGATACGGGGGATAGCCCGCCCATCAAGCAACGACCGTACCGAGTGTCACTAGCTGAAGGCGAGGTGATGGAAGCCGAGATCAGTCAGTATCTGGATCTGGGGCTGATCCGTCCCTCCAATAGCCCTTGGGCCAGTCCGGTGTTGATGATTAGGAAGCCTGACGGCGGGATACGGTTCTGCATCGACTACCGTAGACTGAACGCGGTAACCGTGAAAGACTGCTATCCTATGCCTTTGATTGACGATATCCTGGACGTATTGGGAGATGCGCAACTGTTCTCGACGATGGACATTGCGTCCGGATACTGGAACGTACCTATGGAGGAAGAAAGCATTCCGAAGACCGCTTTTACATGCAAGTACGGTCTGTACGAATGGTTGGTTATGCCGTTTGGACTTTGTAACGCAGTGCCTGCGTTTGAGCGGTTGATGGAAACGGTTCTCGTGGATCTCAAGTGGAGGATCTGTTTGGTGTACCTGGATGACTGTGTCATTTTCAGCAAGGATTTCCCGTCGCATCTCGTTCGTGTGCGTCAGGTGCTGACACGGTTGCGTGAAGCTGGGTTTAAGCTTAAGATGAAAAAATGTCATTGGGGACGGAGTCAGGTCGCATTTCTTGGTCATATCGTGACACCAAGCGGCATCCTGCCGAACCCGGAAAAGGTCAAAGCGGTTATGAATGTGAAGCAGCCTGAGGACTTGCACGAGATACGGTCATTTTTGGGGTTAACTAGTTACTTCCGACGGTATATTCCTGGTTATGCGTTGATCTCCGCACCGTTGGAACGGTTGAAGGAGAAGGATGCACCGTTCGTATGGAGTGAAGACTGTGAAATGGCTTTCAGGCAGTTGAAGCGGGCGCTAATGAAGCCGCCGATACTCGTGTATCCTGACGCCAAGAAACGGTTCAAACTGTACGTCGATTCTTCTCGCTATGCGATAGGAGCCTGTCTGATGCAAGAAGTGAACGGTCGTGACCGTGTGGTTGCCTACGCTAGCAAGTTGTTAACGGGATCTCAGAAGAATTGGATCAACAAGCAGGATGGTATATCGGAGATCGAATGTTGGGGTGTGGTGTGGGCTACTCGGAAATTTCGTTGCTATTTGGATAAGCGGGAGTTCGATTTGTACACGGACCACAAGGCTTTGACGTGGGTATTTAGTCCTGGTAACCGTACTTCGAACGCTAAGTTGGCGCGATGGGCTATGGAGCTTTCTAGTCTACAGTTCCAGGTGAATCATAAGCCTGGGACGGCTATGGGTCATGTGGATGGATTGTCGCGGCTGCCGATCGACCGAGTCGATGCGTTGACGATGTCGGACCTGCTGAACCCTGTGGATGGCGGAGATGGCGTGGTTGACGACTCAGTCGGGGAGCAAGAAGGAACGGATGTTAACCGTGAAAGTGGAAATTCTGGGGATAATCGCTCTGGACCTGGTGATGGCACGGTTGAGGGTGAAGACGAGACTCCGACCGAGAATCCTTCGGCCGTGGATGTCTTCGGTCTTGATTTGGAACAGTTCGTAGCGGAACAACAGAAAGTGGCGTGGATACGGGCGCTCGTCGCGTTCTTAAGGGACGGCGCGCTGCCTGTGGATCCGCTCTTGCGTGCTCAAGTCGTGAAGATGGCTCCGAAACATGCAGTGGCGAACGGTTTGTTGATGCGGCGGGTACACCTCCCCGCTAGGGTTGGTCCGGCTCGGTCATTAACCGTACCTGTTGTGCCGATACCGTACATACCTACCGTGCTACACTACTGTCATTCGGACCTGTTGTCGTCACATTTGGGACTGACGAAGACGCTGGAGAAAGTGAGGCGCCATGCATACTGGCCTGGTTGGCGAAAGGATGTCGCTGAGTTTTTACGGGAGTGCAACAAGTGTGGAAGCGGAAAAGGTTCCAGGCCGTGGAGTGCCGGTCAGATGCAACGGATGCCGGTTGCTGATCTGTCTGGACCGTTCTCGCTTTTAGTAGTGGATGCTATCGGACCTTTGCCTGTCACGGACAGTGGCAACCGTTATATTCTCGTGTTTGTCGACTACTTTACGCGGTGGGCTGAAGCGTTCGCGGTCGAGCGCCTGGATTCTGTTACTTTTGTGGACGTGATGGTGAATGGAGTGGTTGCTCGCCATGGTATCCCGTCTCGGCTACTGAGTGACAACGGTACTAAC